AACAAAATTCTCTTATTATTAATCGAAAATTGTGATTGGACTAAAAGCACCAACGAAGCTGAAATTAAAGACCTTGCAGCTGAAAATTTTACATCGGAATTCCTTTCCTGTGTTCATTAATGTATACATGAACAAACTATAACCGTTTGTCCTCGTGACAAGCCATGGTTTGATTCAGCGCCACGTGAAACAATAAGAATTAAAAACCGTCTTCGTAACAAAGCGCTAAAAAACTAAAAAGGGTTCCGATTGGTTCGCAAATAGAAAGGTCCGAAATTTAGTTAACAATATGAAAAAAATGCGATATCAAATTATTACAACAATATAGAAACCTACTTGGAAGATTCAAGTAATATAACAATAAGTTATATTGGAAGTTGATGAAAGATTCATTTAATATGAAATTATCTAACGAAATACCACCATGCAGTACAAATATTTACTGATCAAAGTTTAGGACAGGTAGCTTATTCAGACTTTGACAAGACTGAAGCATTAAATTCATATTTTTCATATAGTTCCTCTAATGATGATTCTAATGAAACACTGCCAAATATGTATGTGTGTAATGATGCATTATGCAATATTATCATTGATGAACAAGAAGTATTAGATAATATATCAATACTTTCCGTGAACAGAGCTATTGGTCCTGATTGCACTTTTTACTGTTGTTAATCCACGTACTACATGGTATTTAGAAAGTCTTCGTTAGAAAAGGTTTTTCCAACTTTTTGGAAATTAGCTCATGAATTTTATTCCTCTTTTTAAAAAGGATGGCGCTTTTGTGGTTTCCGATTATAGACCTGTGTCATTATCTTGTGATGTGTACCATTTCTTTGCATGCAAAAATTATTCTAATGCGAGAAGTAATCTTTTTAATCCCTTGTTCATGCTTGACGTGGTCACTAATGATATAAATCTAATATTATGTGGTGATGTTAATTTGCCTTTACAGATAAATAACAGTATATTTCCATTTCTATTTGTTTTCTCTGTGATAACTCTTTGAAAGTTAGGAAAGTTAATTTCCTGATCATTCTAAAGGAATGCAAATTTCGCCAAGCGAAAGGTCAGGAGCTAAGAAGGCCTAATATGCATGTAATTCTCGTGCGGCTGTCTTTTGTTTGACGTCAGTGGGCGGGAACTATTGAAATTGACATGTGACATGTGTGTGTAATTTAAATCTGTTAGTCTACATTTTTAAAATCTAAATTTACATTTTTATTTCAAAATGAAATGGAGATATAAGGAATCACTGTCTAGTTAGTAGAGTATGCCAGGGACATCAATGATAGTTGGAAACGTGGGATAATTTATGCATAACGGGCTTCGCCCGTTATGCAAATTATCCCACGTTTCCAACTATCGTTGATGCCCTGGCATACTCTACTAACTAGACAGTGATTCCTTAAATATTCGCTGCTGTTCATAAATTTTATTGACGAAACATTTAGATATATATACTCTTAGTTGTTATGTTATTTAAATAATCGCTTTTCACTTATATCAATTGTATTATTTCTCTTAACGACGACAGACCTAATTAATTTCTGCAATAGATTTTTATTCAAATTTTGATATGAGGTAAATTGACTTTTGTTGAGTTAAAATCAATAAAAAAAAATCATATGGTCATCGATGTAGATTTTTAATAGGGAGCGTTTCAAAAGATGGCGATGGAAATCGATACTAACTATAGGAAGTAATGGGAAATTGCCAGTGTAGGGTATTAGAGTGATCATTGAAAAAAATTCTGCAATAGAATTTTTATTCATATTAAAGGAGAATGTTAACAAGACAACTTACCAGCAAATTATGCCCAAAAATAAATGGTTCATCGGCTTTGATTTTTCAGGGGGCATATAAAACTCAGGTGTAGGACACATTTTTGAGGAAATTTTCAATGAAAATACCTTGGCCAAATAAATCATTTATTTGTATTATTAACAAATGAATATTAATCGAACTATTTACGATATTTTTAAATGAGAGGAAACGTTTGAATATCTTTAAAAGAATTAAAAAGGTATATTTTTTATCTTTTGCAATACATGACTAAGTCAATTTGATTCAAGGCAAATGCGCCGTTTTCTGCGCAGTGGCGCAAAATTTCGAATTAGGTCCGTCGTCTTTAATTTGCATGACACACTGTATTGTAATATATGGAGAGGAACTAGTAAGTTATAAGAACTTGTTTCCGATCCTTTTGATGTACTCATTGTTCAAAACAGTGCTTTGTGAACAGTTAACGCGAGTGGATGGTGATCGCTGACCGCAAAACTGTGAACATTGAACGCATGATGATCTGATGGTGAGCGGACGTTGAACACACTGTAAACGGTGGGTTAACGGAAACTGGGAAAGTAGAACATTTCCTAATATATCTGTTATACGTGTTTAGATGACAGTGTGTGCCAGACTTGCTCAGTTGATCGTGTGTATCAGCAGTGATGAGTTGACTGTGTGTGTGCTAAATGTGCTTAGTTGACTGTGTGTATTATACGTGTTTAGATGACAGTGTGTGTCAGACGTGCTCAGTTGATCGTGTGTATCAGTAGTGTTCAGTTGATAGTGTGTGTGCTATATGTGCTTTGTTGACTGTGTGTATTATAGACAGTATGTGTCAGACGTACTCAGTTGATTGTGTGCTTTAGAAGTATTCAGGTGATAGTTTGTAAATGAAAGTTTTATATTGTTTGTGTATCAGTAAACTGTACACTAGGTGTTTGGAAAGTCAAGGAATGAAATAACTTTTTTTTTTACATATTAGGTCTGATTTTATTTTTGTTGGTGTTGTATGCAGTGCTAATAAAAAAAAACTTGGCCTTTGAAAAAAATTGAAGTTCAAATTGGGTTGGAAAAACTTATTATCAAAGTTGTATTTTAAATTTATCAGACCTATGCTTGCATATGCTTCAGTTGTTTGGGATGGCTGCTCTAAACAAGATTCTGAAAAGCTTGATAAAGTACAACTTACCACCCCTAGAGTAGTAGCAGGACTATTCTTGTGTCTAGAGAAGCACTTTATTCTGAAAGTGGTTGGGAAACTTTAAAATTCGATATATTGCAAAAATGACTACTACATGTATGTTCAAATTCACAAGGGATGAGTACCTGAATATTTGCACAACAGTGTTCCCAATAAGCGTGTTCATGTATCCATATACAATACCCGTGACAAACAATTAAGATTATATAGTTACAGGATGTAGATTAGAATTATTTAAAAATTCCGTCGTATCTGATACTGCAAAACAATGGGATTAATTTAAAATTGAGGTCAGAAAAGCCATCTCAATCAATACATTTCGAACAAAAACTTGATAACAAAAAAATTAAAAATCCACCAAACGAATGTACTTTTCTTTCGGTAAGCGAGATACCAATACCATTCATACTAAGCTATGACAGTACTGTATACTAAACGATGATCCGTATAAACGAAATTATTAATAGTCCTTCATATTCATGAGGAAAACATGAAGATGTGTAACATGTGTAACAAAATTATTCTATTGCAAGAAGTAATCTTTTCAATCGCTTGTCCATGCTTGAATTGGTCATTATTGATTTAAATCTTTTATTATGTGGTGATGTTAATTTGCCTTTACAGATAAATAATAGTATTTTTGCTACTGTTCATAAATTTTATTGACGAAACATGTAGATTCTCTAGTTGATATGTTATTTGATTGCTTTTTCACTTATATCAATTGTTTTATTTTTCTTAATTTACATGACATACTGTATTGTAATATATATATGGAGAGGAACTAGTAAGTTATAAGAACTTGTTTCCAATCCTTTTGATGTACTCAATAAAATATGTTCAAAACAATGCTTTATGTACGGTGAACCCGACAGCGGATGATTAGCTCATGGTGAGCCGACGTTGAACGCACGGTGAATGAAAGATGGGCAAACGGAAAAATGGGAAAGTAAAACGTGTCTAATATATCTATATATTTCAAATTATGTTTATTTACAATTCTTGGCTGTGCTGAAATTAAGAATAAAATAAATTTATGGACATTTTCAAAGTAAATTCTCAAAAAAGATTCATTTCTATTGATATTATTGTGCTTCAATTGATAAAATTAAACGTTTTCCACTGTAAGTGTTCTCACTATGAGAAATCAAAACAGATAAGTGGGCATGCACTTTTTTGTGCGATTCGGTTGATCGGTGATCATGATGTGTTAAATCTTGTCCATAAAGAATACGTATACTTATACCTGACTATGTTAACGAGGCAGATCAACTTAATATTTCTATCTTGTTAAATTGTTTTATCTGGAGATGGTATTGTTGATCGTATGCTTTTAATTATGTTTTAATTAGTTGACTGCGTGCATCTGATGTGGTTATTTGATTGTGTGTGTCAGTTGACTGTGTGTTGGAGGTACACATTTAACCATGTCTTTAAGAAAGTGATTAGTTGGCTGTGTGTTGAACGTACTTAATTAACTGTGAGCATTCGTAGTTGGCTGTGTGAATTATACGTGTTTAGATGACAATGTGTGTCAGACGTGTTCAGTTGACTGTGTGCTTTAGAAGTGTTCAGTTGATAGTGTGTGTGCTAAATGTGCTTAGTTGGCTGTGTGTATTATACGTGTTTAGATGACAGTGTGTGTCAGACGTGCTCAGTTGACTGTGTGCTTTGGAAGTGTTCAGTTGATAGTGTGTAAATGAAAGTGTTCAATTGGTTGTGTATCAGTTTAGTGTTCACTTGGTAAGTGAAAAATCAAGGAATGAAATAGACCCTTTTTGATACATATTAGGTCTGATACGATGTTTAGTTGTTATTTTTAGTATAAAAATTAACATTTCTTCCTTCTAACTCTCTTTTACAAAAAGTGTTCATTTGCATGTGGGAAGTTAAGGTGTTCAGTCGGCACGTCATACACGTATATGTGTGTGTGTGTGTGTGTGTCATGGCTTTAAATATCTTTTGTGGGCTGTATCAACAGAATATTGTAACATCAAACTTTTTTCAGGTACCTGTATCACCACTTACTGGCAGCACGGCACATGGTTAGGAGCTGTTAGGTGTCCAGTGTGTAGACAACAGGTAATAAACATTACATTATTATCACTTAATATATTTTGAATGAATTCATTTTTACAAGGTAACAAACCTGTATTTATTTGCAAGATACAATCTATGAGTATCATCTGTATAAGTACCGGTGATTAAGTTTAAGTAAAGTTGGCTTAGATGAAATACAATTTATAATATATTTTAAATTGTTGAAAATTGTGAATACCTGCTGATAACTAGATTACATATTGTCAATAGGTACTCTAAATAATAATTTTTCCCCTATATAAGGAAGGAAGGGTTCATTGACTCTCTGATAAGAGAGGTTACTCTCAAAGAAATAAATGACTACATGTATAACTGTAAAATCATATGTCAAATTTTGAAGTTCATGGTTTGAGAAAAAGTTACTAGATCAAGGGGATTAAATTTTATGATTAAGGGAGAAACATTATACTGCAGTGTACAGTTTTCACATTTCGAGGGGGATATGAATTTGTGTATCGTTTCATACCACGAAAACTGCACAAAAATGAATGATTTCACAGTATTCCTTTTAAGAAATTGTCAAGTTAAAAGGCCATTTCTTGATCTGTCAAATTTCCCATATAAAGTATGCTGAAATTGTGTGCATTTTGATTATAGATTCAATTTTTCCTTTAGGAAAATCATTAGTATTTAAGCAAAATTTTATACAAGGTCATCTTTTAATAAAATGTTTGCTTGCCCTCTCCCAACTCAGTGTTAAAAAATTGGGTAGGTTGGTAAGAAGGGAAAAAATAATTTTTCCTGAAATTTTTAATATCAATTCTTAATTTTCAAAATCTAATAAAATCAAAGGTATTAATAAAATTAGAATACTTGTTGACAGGATGAGAAATTCAGGAATAAATTAAATTATGTTTTCTGGAGATTCCAAAAATGTTGAATCAGGCCATTTTTAGTAGGTTGGGAGAGAGCAGACAGACAATATTATAAAGATGGCCTAAGAGTGAATTTAGAGGGTTGATGAACATTAAGGGTATACATGTAACATATTACATTTTCCAAAATGAACAAATATGTTAATGTACCAGCAATATTGAGCAGAAAATGTTGCTGACTTAATTTTACTTAGTCTGGAATAAAAATTAAAATTAGTGAAGTCAAAAACTGATAAAGTAGAAGGAATCAACATATCATTGACTGCATGGAAAAAATTTAAGGCACAAGAAAACATCATTTTTAAGTGTGCCCTTATCCCTTTTTTCCCAGTTGCATTGCAAACTTTAGGCATACCTTTGGAGAAAAAAGTGATTACGTTTTATCCAATTTAGGTAACTCTTCTACTCATTCATTTCACTGAAGAAGAACATCTCCAAACAAGTCCAGAGAAGACAGAGATTCTAAACAAGATTGCAGACTATAATCGACGCTTCTCTGGGGAGCCCAGACCTGTAAGTGAAACTAAAAAACTTCAGTTGTCATAAAACAATATTCACAGATTGTGAAGGTAGTTAATCTTAACATCCCAAGACTGGGCAACGTTAAGGGATCAAATGCATAAATGGAATATATAGGTAAAGTCATGACCCACTTGTAGGGCTGTGCGGTGCACCGAAAATTTCGGTGCACCGCGGTTCATACAGTTCGATTCGGTGCACCGATCCAGAATTCCGGAATTCGGTTCGGTTCGGTTCAAAATTTACATAACACGTATAATCAAAAATGGCCGCCAATTGGAGATCAGAATTGCTTGTTTTCATGATTTTAATACTTTTTAGCTCACCTGAGCCGAAGGCTCAAGTGAGCTTTTCTGATCAAATTTTGTCTGTAGTCCGTCTGTCCGTCTGTCCGTCTGTCTGTCTGTCCGTCCGTCCGTCTGTAAACTTTTCACATTTTCGACTTCTTCTCAAGAACCACTGGGCCAATTTCAACCAAACTTGCCACAAAGTATCCTTGGGTGAAGGGGATTCAAGTTTGTTCAAATGAAGGGCCACGCCCTCTTTCAAGGGGAGATAATAAAGAATTAGTGAAAAATTAATATCATCTTTTAAAAATCTTCTTCTCAAGAACCACAAAGCCAGGGAAGATGAAACTCATGTGGAAACATCCTCAGGTAGTGTAGATTTAAGTTTGTTCAAATCATGACCCCCGGGGGTAGGGCGGGGCCACATTGGAGGGTCAAAGTTTTACATAGAAATATATAGGAAAAACCTTTAAAAATCTTCTTCTCAAGAACAGCAAAGCCATGATGAGTCATATTTATATGGAAGCATCCTCAGGTAGTGTAGATTCAAGTTTGTTCAAATCATGACCCCCGGGGGTAGGGCGGGGCCACATTGAAGGGTCAAAGTTTTACATAGAAATATATAGGAAAAACCTTTAAAAATCTTCTTCTCAAGAACAGCAAAGCCATGATGAGTCATATTTATATGGAAGCATCCTCAGGTAGTGTAGATTCAAGTTTGTTCAAATCATGACCCCCGGGGGTAGGGTGGGGCCACATTGGAGGATCAAAGTTTTACATAGAAATGTATAGGAAAAACCTTTAAAAATCTTCTTCTCAAGAACAGCAAAGCCATGATGAGTCATATTTATATGGAAGCATCCTCAGGTAGTGTAGATTCAAGTTTGTTCAAATCATGACCCCCGGGGGTAGGGTGGGGCCACAATGGAGGATCACAAGTTTTACATAGAAATATATAGGAAAAATCTTTAAAAATCTTCTTCTCAAGAACAGCAAAGCCATGATGAGGCATATTTATATGGAAGCATCCTCAGGTAGTGTAGATTCAAGTTTGTTCAAATCATGACCTCCGAGGGTAGGGCGGGGCCACAATGGAGGATCAAAGTTTTACATAGAAATATGTAGAAAAAATCTTTAAAAATCTTCTTCTCAAGAACAGCAAAGCCCTAATTGGTCATATTTATATGGAAGCATCCTCAGGTAGTGTAGATTCAAGTTTGTTCAAATCCTAACCCCCCGGGGGTAGGGTGGGGCCACAATGGAGGATCAAAGTTTTACATAGAAATATATAGGAAAAATCTTTAAAAATCTTCTTCTCAGGAACAGCAAAGCCCTGATTGATCATATTTATATGGAAGCATCCTCAGGTAGTGTAGATTCAAGTTTGTTCAAATCATGACCCCCGGGGGTAGGGCGGGGCCACATTGGAGGGTCAAAGTTTGAAATAGAAATATATAGGAAGATATCTTCTGGTGAAGAACTGCAAATCCATGATTAGTCATTTTGATATGGAAGCATCCTCAGGTAGTGTAGATTCAAGTTTGTTAAAATGATGACCCCAGGGGATAGGGATGGGCCATAATGGGGGGTCGAAAATTTTACATAGGAACATATAGGAAAATATCTTCTTCTCAGGAACAGCAAAGCCCTGATTGATCATATTTATGTGGAAGTATCCTCAGGTAGTGTAAATTCAATTTTGTTCAAATGATGACCCCGAGGGTAGGGTGGGGCCCAATAGGGGGATTGAAAGTTTTACATAAGAACATATAGAAAAAAAATTTCTTCTCAAGAACAGAAAAGCTATGTTTAGTCATATTGATATGGAGGCATCCTCAGGTAGTGTAGATTCAAGTTTGTTCAAATCATGACCCCCTGGGATAGGGCGGGGCCACATTGGAGGGTCAAAGTTTTACATAGAAATATATAGGAAAAACCTTTAAAAATATTCTTATCAAGAACAGCAAAGCCATGATGAGTCATATTTATATGGAAGCATCCTCAGGTAGTGTAGATTCAAGTTTGTTCAAATCATGACCCCCGGGGGTAGGGTGGGGCCACATTGGAGGATCAAAGTTTTACATAGAAATGTATAGGAAAAACCTTTAAAAATCTTCTTCTCAAGAACAGCAAAGCCATGATGAGTCATATTTATATGGAAGCATCCTCAGGTAGTGTAGATTCAAGTTTGTTCAAATCATGACCTCTGAGGGTAGGGTGGGGCCACAATGGAGGATCAAAGTTTTACATAGAAATATGTAGAAAAAATCTTTAAAAATCTTCTTCTCAATAACAGCAAAGCCCTAATTGGTCATATTTATATGGAAGCATCCTCAGGTAGTGTAGATTCAAGTTTGTTCAAATCCTAACCCCCTGGGGGTAGGGTGGGGCCACAATGGAGGATCAAAGTTTTACATAGAAATATATAGGAAAAATCTTTAAAAATCTTCTTCTCAGGAACAGCAAAGCCCTGATTGATCATATTTATGTGGAAGTATCCTCAGGTAGTGTAGATTCAAATTTGTTCAAATCATGACCCCCGGGGGTAGGGTGGGGCCACAATGGAGGATAAAAGTCTGAAATAGAAATATATAGGAAGATATCTTCTGGTGAAGAACTGCAAATCCATGATTAGTCATTTTGATATGGAAGCATCCTCAGGTAGTGTAGATTCAAGTTTGTTAAAATGATGACCCCAGGGGATAGGGATGGGCTATAATGGGGGATCGAAAATTTTACATAGGAACATATAGGAAAATATCTTCTTCTCAAGAACTGAAAATCATGATTAGTCATTTTGATATGGAAGCATCCTCAGGTAGTGTAAATTCAATTTTGTTCAAATGATGACCCCCGAGGGTAGGGTGGGGCCCAATAGGGGGATTGAAAGTTTTACATAAGAACATATAGAAAAAAAATTTCTTCTCAAGAACAGAAAAGCTATGTTTAGTCATATTGATATGGAGGCATCCTCAGGTAGTGTAGATTCAAGTTTGTTCAAATGATGACCCCTGGGATAGGGAGGAGCCACAATGGAGGATAAAATTTTACAAAGGAATATATGAGAATTTTTTTTTTAAAATCTTCTCAAGTACAACAAAGCCATTTGTTATATTGACATGGAAGCATCATCAGGTAGTTTAAAATTCAACCCCCCCCCCAATCTTTTCAATACTGAACTGATTTGTGCTTTTGCCTTGCCAATGTGCTCAGGTGAGCGATGTGGCCCATGGGCCTCTTGTTATAATGATTGTGCCGGTTTGAAGTCAGTGATTAGTTTTTTTTCCCCACAAACACCCTTTACTTTGACAACAGAGGTTAGTCTAAATTGCTATGGGCTAGTAAATAGCCCGACGGGCTAGTGAAAAAGTACATGTAGCAGGTATTTTCCAAGTTTTGCTTTTAAATCCCCAACCAATAAAAAAAATCAAAGAAGTGTGGTTCTCTTGTTCATATCTCTTCTATCTAATTCTTTTAGCACTTCTATATTATTTATTTATTTCGAAAAACCATGAAAACGGTCGACTTTTTTTCTACTAATCCGAATTTCCTCCATTCCGATTTTATGGAAAATACATGTAGATATCACAATAATTGATTAATTTATTTATCATTTACTCAGAAGAAAAATACAAAATGAGAAAATAAGCAGAAGAAATATGAAAAGAAGAGTAATTCAATATGAAATGGAATATAATAATACAACCAAAGGTTTCAAATTTTGTTATTTTTATGAGCTAGTAGTCTTAACTTTACTTTAGCTAGTAAAAATGTCAAATTCACTAGCCTCACTTGTTAGTGTCTCAGAAAAGTTTTTGTGAAGACTGGAGTAAAGGATTTTAATCAGTTTTTAAAGCAGAGGTTATCATTTTTCATTTATGATGAAAAATATTTAGACTGTTTTAGGTTAAAACGAACCGAATCGAAAAAAACCGAACCGTATCGTTCTTAACGAAATCGAACCGAATCGATTGAACCCTGAATCGTCCCAGCCCTACCCTCTTGGGACTAGAATGAGGTCATAATATGGAGTCAAAATTATTCATGGGATTGGAAAAAATTGGGGATGTCGACGAATATTTGAATGTTCCGGTTTGAAGTCAGTGATTAGTTTGAATGTTCAAATATTCGTCGACATCCCCAATTTTTGTCGACAAATATTCAACATCCCCAATTTATGTCGACAAATATTCGAACATTCCAATATTCATTCGATGTGTTGATATTCGAATATGAATTTGAGATTTAAATATTCGGTGTCTTTCAGATTTCACAAAAAAATAATAAATTTTAATTAGAACAGTGCTGGAATTATCCCCGTTTTATTTACTAGCAATCCCCTGATATCTTTCACTACTTTCTTATCTTATAGATCTTTTAAATTATTTCGTTTTGAGTAAGGTATAAAAGAAATAAACAAGCATTATTAATGTATAATACAAAAAGTACTTTTAATAGTTTAATATGATTGGATCTAGAATCAAGGACAATGAAATGAAACCCTTCTTGAATGTCTAAGAGACGTGAAGAGTGTACTTACGAAAATAAATTTTATTGATCATTTAAATACATCTTCGATAGAATCAGCCTGCAATATTGTAAAGGGTAATTAATGCATCAATTACTTGATTATCTCAAGTTGAATATACACTGTATTCCTAAACTTTTATATCATCATTGGGAAATTAATGACCTAGGACAATTGTC